GGAAGTCTGTCATGCTAAGACAGAGCCGTTTGCCCGTCTCGAGTCTCCCACTCGGCGTAATCATGACGATGGCAGGCGGAGCATGAGGGTATGTGCTCGGAAATAGTATCTTGCCATGGTAGCAGCCCCTGCTGTATGGAGTGTCATCTGGCAGGGAGTGAAGGACAAAATGCCACTGAAGCAGACTGTCCTCACACAAGAGGAATGCATGTCCACATGCGAAAATGCCCTACATTCCAACGGGCATAACATCACATACTAGTCATAGTATATGCAGCATATACCTAACCCGTCAGTCCTCTGAAGGGCGCACCAGAATCTGGGAGTTGCCAGACGATTGCAGGGCTTCCAAGTCTCGTCGCAACCGTCTGGCAAAAGCTCCGCACAGTTGTGTTGTTCTCAGCTCTGTGTCGCCCTCCCCTTCCTTAACCAAGCCTTGTCTTCCAAATCCCCTTCAACCCTTCAACCCACCTATACCCCAACATCAACCCCAACACCAGCCCCAACATCAACCCCCCCCCCCCCTCAACCCCTCAACCCCAACATCAACCCCCTTCCAAGCCCTTTAACCCACCTCACAGCGGCACTGGAAGCCGGCGCCGAGGCTGTGCCTTCTGAGGCGGGCGCCATTGGCTGCATGAGGAGACGGAAAAGCGGGAAAACCGGAGACCCAAGCCTTCTGAAACCCCAAAAGGACTTTAACATAAACCCCAGAAGCCCCAGAAGCCCCAAGGAAAAAGAGACTGACGAATGTCAACAACGGCCCCAAGAGCTCGCAGCGAAAGCTAAGGCTGCTCACCACAGTTCTTGGTGTTTCTATTCACACACGACTATGGTTTAAAGCGACTGCTCTTCTGCATTTCATGTGTCAAATTAAGCAGAGTTGAGCTTGACACGGTGTGGCATGAATTGGCATGGGCCATCAAACAATCACGCTGCAGCATGTTCTCGCTGGCGGCATTGCAAGAGTCTTTGACACCACTCTGTCACGCGACGCAGTGTCAGAGAAATCTGCCCAATGCCTGCATCAAGCTCAACGGTAGCAACAGCGACAATATTGACAATATCTTTGTGATCGGCGGTGGTCCGCTCGGCCTTCTGCGATGGCTTACGCTGACCAGGCACTGCCTGCAGGCAGGGCACGTGGTCCTATGTATCACCACATGTCCACGCTCAAAATCAGTCCCCGGGCTGGGTGGGCGACACACGGCGATGCCCACAGCGCACACGCCGCTGAAGCTGGAGCCACCTGAGCTTCAAGGAGCCGAAGCGGAGCGCAGCGCCGTGGAGATTGTGAGCTTGTATTACTGTATCGAGAGCATCTGAGACCAAGGCAACGGGAGGCATTGGTGGCAGAGCACCCCAAGGACCGGGGCCAGCTCCGGACACTGGAACGGATGGCAGGGCTCCCATGCCGAGGCCTCCAGATCTACAAGAAATCTCAGGAGCTACAAGAAATCTCAGGAGCTGCGAGAGATATTCGAGGAAGAAAGGAAACCTCTGCAAAGGCCGCTCCTGGACCTACAGGAGGCAGCGCGCTGCTGCTCATGAAGGGTGGCGCCTGGGAATCGCGATCTGAGGCCGCAAGGCTCCCATGCCATTGCGTAACCTCTGGGACCCAGGCTGCAGGACTTGACGGTCCCTGGGAAAACGCCCAGGATCTTTTCGAATGCCCGCAAAATTGTCACAAACCAAATTGGAGTTGGAAGCTGATGTGCTACCTACTCGATGAACAGCCATATGTCTGGATTTGTTTTGGCCCAGGAATGCTGGGCGTGAAAAGGGGAACCACCTGAATCCAGAAACGTTAGTGTTAGCAACACGCGGTGGAACCGCCTTTTATTGAAATTTGGCGCCCGCCTTGGACAGCTGATCTGCCGCCAACTTCAGCCTGAGCTCTCCGAGTCTTGGAGTGAATCGCAACGACAAGACATGTCCAGGCCTAGTCGTCACGACGTCTCCAAGGGCCTGGAACTGGCAGAAAAAGTGCATGTGCTGAAAATCACATTGCTGGCCTTCCACATAGCAGCTTCCGCTTCGGGGCCTGGCGAAAAAACTCCACCACCACACACACACACACACACACACACACACACACACACACACACACACACACATACAACACATACAAACACCTCCTGGGCACACTGAGTGATCCCTCAACACCCCTCAAAACCGTTGAAATTCACGAAGCCCTGGATGCTGTTGGAGCGACATCAGCCTGACTCATGGGCGGAATCTGAAGCAGCTGATGTAGACGGCGCAGCAAGTTCCTCGACAGTGCCGGCACCTGAAAGACGCTGGAAGCTGCGACAACGCAAAACAGCTACCCTGACCAATCACTCAGCTTGCGAGCATTGAACTGAGGTACCCACGACCCACCGGTATAACAACGGGGAAAGCAGGTCCTCCAAGGCTTCCGGTTTGGTTGCTTTCATGTGCGGACTGCCTATGACACGTGGGGTCCGACGTCTCCCGTGAGGCTGGAAGGTTCGCCCATGGCAGAAACTCCACCAGGGCGACTGGTGAAACACAAGTTTGCCAGCCTGTGTTTATGTTTGCCTAGAAGCTTGCACGAACGATGATGCACGTAACGTTCTTCCAGGCTTGACTTGAACGCGGAGAACACGTAGCTGAGAGCGCGAAACCATGCCATTGATACCCCATACAGTTGTGCAATGCACGTATCCCGGCTTATACTGTGATGTTCATGTCCTTCAAGCAAGAGCCAGCGTGCATGACGTGTCGTCGACAGATTGGTTGCCAAACGGCTTATGCAAACAACCTTCACCGTCAAAATGTGCACAGTAAAGAAACTGCAATAGAACAGATGACGTGCGAATGCTGTGCACAAGAATTGCTGCGACCACCACAAGTATAAGGCTTGCCCTTACGCACTGTCAAAGATCCTCTTTAGCGGCCATTGAAGCAACTTTAAGCCCTGCCACTGCTATGATCCACGCACTCCTTCGTTCACTTTAACGGCGCCACCCCTTTCTCACGTGCTGCACCTCCAACTCAGTGTGGGGCCTGAAAAATCGCATGTTTGGGGGACCAACGGTAGAGTCCTTCGGTAAGGACCCCCGAAAGAACCTCTGCGTTCGAAACATGCACAAATAACCGTTAACAACTTTGAACACAGCAGACATACTTGACCAAAAAAAGAACGCCATACCTAAAAGCGCGACACGTCCGCCGTGGGACTAGGGTTAGCTGATAAGGTTGGGAAGAGAAGTCTTGGCGATGTGCAATACAACGCCATTCGAAAATTCGTCTATGTCTATGTAGGTTTGAACACGGAACCAAAAAAACAAAATTGAAACAATCAAGAACTTTGGATATAAAGGCTGATCATGAGACAGTTCAAAAAGTTCCAAATTGCGCACGTCTTCTGATGAAACAACACATACCAACGCATCGCACTTGTTTTAACTTTGGCGGACAGCGCTGGCAGATCAGCGGTGCAGGCGCAGTGCTTTTGCGGCCACCAGGCAGAACAGCCTCACGAGGCGACACCGGCGACCTGGAGCATCGGGCGGTTGGGGAGCTGAGCCTCACGACTGCAGATCGGTAAACCATCCAGTTTCAACATCTGCTTTTCGCATGTATTTCCTGGCACAACTGCACTGTGTTCTTCCTGCAGGTGGCGCGGCGATGTCTTTCTCTGTTGGACACTACGCTGCTGTTGCCGCTGGATCTTAATGGATGCTGCTCAACGCAGAGTGGCCGCCGCAAGCAAAGGGTTTTTGAGTACTTTTTTGTCCTTTTTGGGTGCTTTTAAACATATTTTTCGTGGTCCCCTGGTCCCCTGGTCTGCTCCTCCCATGGTCTTCCTAGGAAAAGGCTACATTCCCTATAAGAATTTTCATAGGATTTGGTCGATTTCTTGGTTTTCCGAAAAAGCCTCCATTCCCACATTTTCATAAGAAACTGGTCCATTTTTCCCCACATCTTTGTGCGGGGTTCTGGCTGTCCCGCCATGTCCCGCCTCCGCGTCCTCCTCCTCCTCCTCCTCCTCCTCCTCCTCCTCCTCCTCCTCCTCCTCCTCCTCCTTCTCCTCCCCCTCCTCCCGCCTCCTCCTCCCTCCTCCCTCCTCCCTCCTCCACACACTTCCTCCTACTCCACACACGCGACATCATCTATTCCACACACGCGACATCATCTCCACACCAGAAACCATGCACACACTCTGACACCATTCACTAACTCACCACACACCATGACAGCACCACGCACCATCTGACACCATTCACTTGCCACACACTATGCAGGCGCGACACAGGTGGTGCGACACAGGTGACACACCATGCACACACTCTGACACCATTCACTAACTCACCACACACCATGACAGCACCCACACCATCTGACACCATTCACTAACTCACCACACGTGGCGCGACACAGGTGTCGCTTGTGCACACCATGACAGCGGCTCGCTTCGCGTTGGTTTGTGCTAGCAGGCGCAGCATTTAGGGGCCCTGGCCCGGTGCCGCGCGTGCTCGGGGGGCTTGCTTCGCGTCGGCAGGCGCGACACAGGTGTCCTTTGTGCTGGCAGGCGCAGCATTTAGGGGCCCTGGACCGGTGCCGCGCGTGCTCGGGGGGCTCGCTTCGCGTTGGCAGGCGCGACGCGGGTGTCGTTTGTGCTGGCAGGCGCAGCATTTAGGGCGGGCCCTGGACCGGTGCCGCGCGCGTCTGGGGCGCTATTCGCGTCGGCGGGCGCGACAGAGGTGTTCTTGTGCTGGCATCCTGAGCCCTCATTTCTCCAAAACTCTCGGGTCCCGGCTCCGGAGCCTCGCTGATGCTCATGATGCTCGCTTGGAGGGCGCCCCCCACCCCCCCCCCACCCATCTCTGGCCCTTTTTGTCGACCCCACCCCCAAGCCGATGATGCCAATGAAGCTGCTGCGCGCGCGCGCGTGCGCGCGCATGCTCGCTCGCGCACTCGGAGTATATCTAGGGTTTCGGCTGTCGCTTCCTGTTCTTTCTTCTCTTCTGCTTCCTGTTCATTCTTTTTCTTCTTTTTATTCTTCTTTATTTTCTTGCTTCCGTTCTTCTTCTTTTGCTTCATCTTTCCTTTCTTATTTATTTTATTCTTCTTCCTCTTTATGTTACTCCTCTTTCTTTTCTTCGTCTTCCTCTTTATATTATTCCTCCTTCTTTTCTTCTTCTTTCTTTTCTTATTTTTATTCTTTCTTTTCTTCTTCTTTTGATTTTCTTATTTTTATTATTCCTTGTCTTCCTCTTTTTCTTCTTCTTGATTTTTCTTATTCTTCTTTATATTCTTCTTTCCTTTTCTTCTTTTTGTTTCTTTTGTTATTGTTCTTTTCTTCTTCTTTCTTTTATTACTCTTCTGTTTCGTCTTCTTTCTTTTATTTTTCTTCTTTTGCTTCTTCTTTCCTTTCTTCTTCTTCTTCTTCTTCTTTTTGTTCTGCCTTTTTATCTTATTATTCTTTCTCTTCCTCTTTTTCTTCTTCTTTCCCGAGTTTCAGCTTTCAGACGGCCAGGCCGGCCCGTGCCGCAAGGCCTTTAGATAAGCATTGCAATCTTTATCAGCTTTATGTGCTGATACGAGACATTGGCCGCGTCTGCCCAAACGCCGAGCTAGGCGACACTGGCAATCACTCCGGCTGCAAAGTGTTCGTGCCTTGGCAATAACAGCAAGCTTTTCTGGCCTTCACTTAGGATCCATTAATCACTCAATATAGCTAGTGCTGTCTATAATTGGCCGCATGCTCTTTGCTGGCGCATGCACAGGCTTGGAGGATATCAAACGCTTGCCCACACTCATGCCAACCTCGTTTGCCAGAGTTTGCGCCATGGCTGCCCACTCCTCGCTTCTCCTCTTACTGCACATGAAACTTGAAGAGGGCACACACACTTCCAAGTATGTTCAAACTGCAGCCATGTGGTCACGAAGATTCGAAAGTGTTTGGTTGCTACAGGTTGTTCAACATGATAGCGTTTGAAACATCGTCCATGCCTGATGTCTACCTTATTGTTCAAAACCGTGCTTGTCTTGAAATGTCATGTCATGTTTGAACACACCAGCATGACCCTCTCTTCACAAAGCATCATGCATTCTGCTCAAATCACTCGCACACTTTCGAATCTTTTCACGTAGTGGGGAAACAGTACCGATCACGGCTGGTTGGATCTTAATCCCTCCTGTAAGACCCAAGACTGTTGTTGAGTCTCGAAGGTCCTGTGAGACACAGGGCTCCTTTCCCCACCGGGGGGAAAATGTCAGCTAACTCACTACCTCTCACAGGTTCAACCTGAGTTGACGGCCTGAACAGAATATTCAGCAGGTTCAGCACAATAAGTCAAGAAGTTTCGGGCTGTCGCTGAGAGCTTGACGAGGCAGCCCCACTGGGCTGCTCCAAATCAGGTTCAGGGTTCACAAACTGCCACTGAGAATGAAGAGCTGCAGCAGCCTCTCGTTGCTGCATTTCACGGTCTGCCATGAGATCGTCCAAAACCTCAGCCACCTTCACGAGGGAATCCATATTCAAAGAGTGAAGCCACACTCGAAAATCATTTAGCTGATCTCGTGTCAACGACCGAGCCATGAAGAGTGCTGAAAGGTAGAGTGGCAAGAAGAGTAATACTCGAGCCTGTATGCATCAAGCAGGTAAGCAAACTGTCATCACCCAGAGTAAGGCCCACGCGAACAAAGGTCCCTGATTGTAGCATTCTTGCTGAGCTGCCGGTTACCCTCTCAAATCCGATCACAGCATCTTGTGCAGACTACAACATCTCCTGACGAAGTCACAAAAATCACAAATTAATAAACAAGGGCGGCGAGGGTGGGTTTTTCAAAAATTGATCTATCAGCCTCTAAGAGCACTTTCCGGGCATCCTGCCCCTCGAGAGGTCCCGCTGCGACGGGTGTATACAGTAAGTACCAATCATACCCAGACAAGTACAAAATGATCGAGCAGTGGAAATACCGTCATGCAAAAAGGCAAGCACTAAAACAACAACCAAATGTTTTGATCACTGTAACATTTCGAATGTTGTTTTCATTGAACAATAAAGCTCTATCTTCTCCAGGTTTTCGAAGAACGATACTTATTGTTCAAAACCGTGCTTGTCTTGAAATGTCATGTCATGTTTGAACACACCAGCATGACCCTCTCTTCACAAAGCATCATGCATTCTGCTCAAATCACTCGCACACTTTCGAATCTTTTCACGTAGTGGGGAAACAGTACCGATCACGGCTGGTTGGATCTTAATCCCTCCTGTAAGACCCAAGACTGTCGTTGAGTCTCGAAGGTCCTGTGAGACACAGGGCTCCTTTCCCCATTCCCTTGAGCCATGTGTCAAACCTTCAGTTTCGAGGCTCTCTTCTCGATCGCTGAAACTATCCTGCTCGCTTCTAGCGATTCGTCCTTGAATCCTAACTTCCTAACTAAATCAAGTTGGAACCTTGAAGGTTGATCTGCAAGATTCGCTGGGGAGGCAACCCTTGCATACCACGGTAAAAATCCGTGAA